TGCAGAGTGTTTCATGTGTGTTTAAACTGGTGGTGAACTGGGTGCATGTTTCTAAGAGTGAAAAACACTGAAAGAATTGGAAAAATTATCAGAAATAGCCACCCTGGCTTTAGATTTTAAACACGCACAAATTTTGTCTCTGGATTATATTATGAAGCTTTTATGTGAACCATGTTTTATTGTAATGAATACCACATTGAAGATGTTTAGTAATCATATTCTCTTACTGGTACCAAGATTGGTAGGGAAAAGTCTATGTGCTTTAGAGAAGTACTTTCGGCATTTTATTATATAGACAGAGAAACCATAGGTTGCAGCACTTCTCCTGGCTGTATTAGACTTGGGTAGCGAATCATATGATGAATAAATGTTGATTACTGCTGTAGAAGAAATGCATGTAGCGGATTGCCAGTACCTGTCCTAATCCTCTTTCCCTTTAATCAGCACCCACTTTGTTGCTATAATCCACATTCTCTTGGATCATGTAAGAAAAATGTATTCTAATGTAAGTTGGTTTGTTGTTTTTTTTTTAAAAAAAAATGTGTGCCTTGCATAATGTTCAAAGGCTCATGTATTTGTGAAAGTGGAAATAAACTATTTTTAAAGTCATCAAATCATTTAGTATTGTGCATAGCATGTATAACCACAATAATTAGCATTATAGTGAGTTTTATTCACGTTGATGTGGATATATGCCCATCATCTTTCAAGGTACTATGTACCCTCATTTAAGCATACCATAGTTCACAGTGAATAAGAGAAGCCATTTTTCACCCAAAATAATACCATTTCAGTGAAGACTGAGCATGAACAAGGGATATGAGTAATAGTTGTAAATAGTTTATCACCATCTGACTCTTGCTCTTACCAATCTGTATACCGTTATAATCTGAAATAGGCTAATTGATCAGCACTATAATTATTTGGAGAAATAAACTACCTCTGAATGAAATTCAGAGCTCTTCATAGATTAGAATTAAACTTTAAAAGAGACTGCCGATTTATCTATGGGTTGTATGAATGAGCCTCCTTTGTTTCCAGAATTCCTCTGTCAGAGGTACTCTGAGAAGATCTGTGTTGGTCAAAAGTTTGACACTGAAAAGAACTGTTTGCAATTGGAAAGAATCTTCATCCCCAAATCTATTTTTAAGTCATCAGAATATTATCTTGAGCAGAACAGGAGACAAGTAGGCGTGGCTTCTTCCATGGTAAACCAGCCAGGAACCCATTCACATTCAGAGTGTTAAGTGAGCAACAGAGCTCTAGATTTCCTGTCAATGGTCAGTCACGTCTCTCCAAATAGATCTTAAAAAGGTGGACAGTCTTATATTAACTGAGCACTTTAGCTTTGGCCTTTAGTATGGAGAAAAGTCACTGCCTCCTTTTTTTTTTCACATGCTTGAAGTTTTTATATAAGATTAACTTTCCATAGTAATTTAAAAAAAAAACCCAATGTTCAAAGGCTCATGTGTTTGTAAAGGTGGAAATAAACTATTTTTAACTAGTTTAACTATTTTGACCCAACTCTCAATAATGGTGCAGATCTTGGCTTCACTTAGACGTTCATGTTCATGTAACTGTAGGCAATTCTTTTTAATACTTAAAAAGCAGAGATTCCTGGGAACTGATGAAGAAATGGTCACACGTCTGTATTTCTTTAAAATCCTTGACTTACTCTGCCCAGCGATAGGCAGTGACTGGAGACACTTTGAAGGAGGTCTAATTTCCATCTGAGTTTGGCTCAGTGGGTGGCGGGACTGTGACATCCTTGAATAGGACTGCAATCACCGCATGGTGAAAACCACCTAAAATTTGTTCTGGGTTTTTCTCCTTCCTGAAGTGACAGCACAATATGTCGTCAGTGGTATAGCTGCCATTGCTGCAGTCAGCTGTTTTCCTCCTTAACTCTGAGGAACAGAAAGATGGGTAGCCCCCACCAGCTTGCTTGCTCCCCTCAAGGAGACCAGCCTCCCCCTGCTCTGCCTGTTGGGGTATCTTAATTCTGCTTTTGGTCCACCTCATTCCTGGGGGCAGAGTGGGGGGAAAGGCCCGAGTTTAGTAGCAGCTTTTTTTTTTTTCAAGGAGAGGAAAGAATGTGAAGCTAACCACAAAGTGAACACACTGATTCTTGGGTTCCAGTCGTGGCTGGGTTTCTTGAGGCTGGGTGGCACGCTGTCGCCAAGCTCATGCTACACCTCATAACCCACAACCATTTGCGGAGCTCCCTGGGGTCGCCTTAATCCCAGCAGCCAGGGTTGCACAGGGGAAAATAAGAATTCTGGCACAGAAAGGAATCATTTAAATGCTTATTGCATTTCAAGCTTCAGTTTTTACTTAGCTAAAATATTTACCATTGCTGGAAAACAATGTTTAAAATTTTGTGCTTATATGTTATTTAATGGTGTGGCCGATGTAAACCTCAGGATGCTTACATTTTGACAGTCTTCTGGAAATGTTTAACAGCACATAACTCTGCGCAGGGAGTAAAACAGGAACAAATTGTGCTTGAAACTGTTTGTAGCTTAACTCCGACTAGGAACCAGCAAGCCATGTTGGAGTTCTTCAGGTAGGAGGGGGAATCATCAATGATGGGGGCTTAGGTACCACCCCGTTAGCTAACCTCCTCTAAAGTTATCTTGAGCCTTTTACCACAGAAGCCATACTTGTGGGGATGAATTTGTATCCTCGCCACTGTATCCAAAAATCCCATTTTAAGTTCAGCGTAATCAAATGCTTTCAGGATGTGGATTTTTCCAAAGATTTTTGAAGACACGTTCCCCGGTCAGGGCAGTGAAATGTTTTCTCCACAAATGGTTCTTTGCACAGAGAAGGTAGAGCCTCCTGTTTTATCTTGAGAAAATGGCAATCTTTATCTGAGAGTTTTACCTTCAATATTATGAAGGTCACAGGGCACCTATTGCTTCATTTTAATACCTGAAGTCTCAAAGTATTGTCACCGTTGTACAAGGACAGCAATCCAAGTCTGGAGTCAGCTCCTTGAAAATATGGCTTGTGTCTTTTAACATCTCCCTCTGCCTGAAATGTAGTAGAAGTGGTTTTGTCATTTAATTTTTTTTTTAGGATGAACGAATTGAAGGATGTGTGAATTTTGACATATTATTCTTTTCCAAGAAGTATTCTGCATTATCTTCCTATTATACAGGCCCTTTCTGCTGCTGGAATTAACACCATAACACTCTGGAGCGTCACTGTTTGATTTTTTGGCCACTTAATATTGGAAGTGAACAATAAATTTAGTAAAGCAAGTATGGCTGTATAGCATTGATTTTCATTCATTGCTTGCTTTGAGCCTGCAACTGACTGACATTTAAACTACTTTTATAGTTTATATAGATACTTAAATATAATTTATTTCCTGTCTATACTATAAAAGTAAAATATTTATATTGTCTGGTCATTATTAGAACAAATCTTTAAAAAAATCAGATCTTTTGCGATTGATGTTGCATTAAGTGGTACTTTTTTTAAAAAGTATCATTAAAATTATTTTCCTTATCAATGAATGCATTCAACCTGACTGCTGACAAGTTGGTTCTGACTCAGCCACCAGCACACAGGGTGTGGGCTAACAGCACAAGGCTCTAAGGACTACTGCCGCCAGAGCTCCCTATGAATGTATTAGTTATTTACAATTCATTCTCTCCACTCATCTCACCTCCTGCTATTTATGTGCCCCTCAGAGCACAGTGGCAAGCATTTCTTTAGAAGCTGCTAAGGACCAAACGAACTCTCAGAAGGGTTTGTTTTTTAGCAAACGCATTAATTGACTCCAAAAAAGAACCCAAATGGAACACTCTGCTTTCATCTGCTGGGGTAACCTAATAAAATAATGTTGTTTGTTTTTAGATTCCCTGCTGTTAAGGGGGTTTTGCTCAAGGCATAAACCACAGTCCCCTCAAATGACTTTAGAAGGAAAGTTAAGAAGACACACTAATTGTCCTTGTCTGAAGCTCCCTTCTCCTGGCTCATGGACACGCCCCCCACATGCTGAGCTGGTCGCCCAGCCTGGGTGCCCACTGCTGCCTAGACTCCGTGGGACTGGCCTTTTTCAGAGATGCTTGGTTTTCCAGCAAAGCAATTCTAAGAGAATTTGGAAATGGACTCCAGCTCTCTGGAAAGAATTGTGCAAACATGTTGCAGCATGTTTTACAAGGTGGGGAAAGGACAGTAGAGTTTGCTGGAAGAAGGCTGATTAAAACACTCTTCTTTATCTCTCATCATCCCTCTCCACTGGCCTTAGTCACTTATCCAAGCTCTCACTCTGGTCTGTTAATGGGCTGTTTTAAGATGAGAGAGGGGCAAGTAATTCTGTCCCTGCCAAGGTGTTCTCTTGCTAGTCAGGACTCAACAACTCTGAGCTATTAGATGCCAGAGATGATCTCATTTAATCCTCTCATAGTCTTAATGGATTATGGTACTTTAAGGTATATTCTGTTCCTTGTGGTTTAAATGAGAAAGACAAAGCACTGAGAGGGTAGGTGTCTTGTCTAGAGTCCCTCAGCTATCCAGTGAGGGAACTGGGATTTGTGCTTCTAATCCAAAAGCCTCACTCTGGCAGCTCATCTCCACCAGGGTTGAGGAGGAAGGGAAATGGGCACTCTCCAGTTTTTAATAGCCTTGGAAACCCAGTAGAGGATCTGCTAAGAGTTGCTTCAGACTGGGCTGCAATGAGCTGTCAGTAGTGTAAGAGCCCAGGCTCTGTTTTCTCTTTAGTAGAGTTCCTGGATAGAATATACTATAGAAAGTTCTTGTTAGGTTCCATTGAGTTGGCCATGCATGATTCATAACAACCCTCCAAACAGCAGATCTGTCCTTTGCCCTATGCTGGGCCATCCTCACTTGCTGATATAGTC